TTTTAATACGGGTGCCTGGATCGTACGCGCAGAATGTTAATATTGTGTTATATAACGCAGTGTGGTTCGAGGAAATAACAGTTCGGCAATTATTATTGTTGAACCTTCAACAGGATTTTATTCAAACGGATTTTAAATCATACATTTGTGGTCGGAAATAAAGAAAAAAAAAGAACCCCTTTTTTATTTACATATATGAGGCGTAGAGATATAAAGAGACTCGTGAATATGGCTGAATCTCTTTCGGATGCATGTTGTAGTTACATTCGATATTCGAGTGGTGTATATTTGTTGAAATATTTTAATTTATCAAACTAATTGGCATATTCTAAATATTATCAGAACCATTAAAAATATGATATATGATAACATTTTTATAATCGAAACGCTGTAGTGATTTATCCAGCATTTAATAATGTTTTAGACAACACTCTATAGATTAACTGCTGTAATAAATTATTAATCGGAAATTGGTAACAGTGTATATTTTAGTGGATTTAGACCTAAAAACCAGATAAAACTGTAGGAATTTTGTACGAAGAATTTCAATTTTGAAGACAGATTATAATTCCGTAGGTTCTTTACTAGCTAGGATATGTTGGAAACAGACATTTAATTATTTTACTGGAAATATAATAAAAAAACTTATTTAAGTATTTTATATTTTTTGCTTTTTACTTATGATAAAGATAATTAAAATTAAAAAAATAATTCCAACGCATCCTAGAAAAGAACCTAATGACTTATACTTTCAAAAATTGAACTCTATTGAACGCTATTCCTAAAATTTTTATTTGGTTTTTTTATTTAAAACGTCATATTCGTCCGTAGTATCGGCTATACCCCTCAAATCAAATATTGAGCAGTACAGAGTAATAGTGAAAAAGTCATACCATTTAGATAGCAATTAAAATGTGAAAAAAACCTGATACTAAGAATGGGTTTCTCAAAAAACAACTAAACAAAATTTCCTTTCAGAAAATATGCTACACTCAATACAATGAAGCAAGATTTCTGGTAGAAAAGTTGCTTAGACACACATAAAACACAAAAAAGTACAAAAGAATAAAACACATATCGTACGCTACGTTCCGAATGCAAAACATTTGAAAAACTGCGCGTCATCAATCGATTTAATTATTTATGAATCGGCTAACATTATAAAATATAATTATATAAATATATAGAGAAACAAATCCGAAAATTGTATGTAGACAAATCCCGTTTAGAGTGAATTAATTCGACAATAAAAATTATTTTTAATTAGTTTCTTCAACAATAAAAATAAAAATAAAAATAATGTTGTAAAACGCAAGTCGTCGTTGGGCTCTTAACATCTTGGTTTCTTATTACATCAATTAAGATAATATATACAACTGAATATCTTTTTACTCTCTTTATACTATCACAATGTATTAAATATATGTATATATGCCCTCTACTTAGAACTGTTTTTTTATAGTCGAATATTTGCCCTAGGGAGTTCGTTAGATTATTTTTAACGATTTAACGGTTGAAACTGTTATAATAATATTTTTATAGTAGGTACCATTACCTACCCGCCCAATAGTTTTTAATTCCTTGTACGTATAGACTGTTTTATATATACCCACTTGCATACAGTTAAATATGCATTATCTGCGTGTTATAATAATCATTCGTATTATTATTACTTTACAATATTAATTTTTGAGTAATATGATCATTGGGCCGAGGGAATGATTATTACGATATTGTTTAAAATACTTTCGTGAATAAAACTAGGATACCATTATCTTTATAAAGTTTACGAATCAAGTGACTTAAATAATGGTTACATCCAAGTTTTGAGGGTGGAAAATGTTTAATCCACGAAGGATTGTGGGTTTCAACCGATCGCATTATATTTTTTGGAAACATATTACTCTAATCAGTACGACAAATATGTAAATAGTGGTGGTTTTAATCAAAACAAATTGTCTATACCCCTCCCAGTAACTAACTGTAACAAGAAAAAACTACTAACTAGGTTATTAAGTACATTAATCATGATATTTAGATGGAAATGAATACTGATAGCAGTTACCTTTAAAGAGGAAAATATAGTCGAGCAGAATTATTATACGTTATTATTTTTCTAAAATATCACCAAAATTTAAAAAAAATTATGAACTAATATGGCTGTAACTTTAGTAGTGCTCTCGAAATTTTTTTTTTTTTGAGTATTGCTATTTTGATGGTGTTTAGGCAAAATGATTCAATCAAGGGTTAGAAGCTAATTGATAAAAATTCAAATTATATTTTGATAGAAAATGGTTTTAAAATTTTGATAATAGTTGTTACTAATTAAAAATTTCTCGATCTTAAAAATGATAAAAATCTATTTCATTAATAACTGGAAGGAAATTTTAAAAGTCAATTTAGAAAAAGATACCTATATACTTCATACTATGGGTGCACCACTGTTGTAGGTGAGAGGTTGGGAAGGTAAGATGTAGAGGAGAATTTAATGTATATCTGTATGCAATGATTAATCTTTGTTAACAAAAATGATTATGAACGCGGAGTTCGGTTAGACATGTTTTGAAAGTTCGTAATATTTACGATTTAAAAATAATACATTTCGTAAATTTTCTGTTTTTCTACATTTTTTCCCAATTATTATGAAAACTCTTAGAAAAATCAAAAAATAACTTCTGAAGCCCTAATAATCCAACTTCAGTTAAATTTCCTTTCGGAAAACATGCTACACTTGAAAATCGGAGCAACATTTCTGGTAGAATAGTTACATAAAAAAAAATAATTAAAAAAATTATCATCACTATAAAACCAATACATTCCTCGCTCCACTAAGAATATAAAAGTTATCAGAGTTTGAAATGTAAAATAACTAAAAAAAAAACGTTTTTTCACTTTCCTGAAAACCTATACAAACTTCACTTGGACCCATTTACCACATAACCTATAACCACCCATTTCTACGCCACAGTTTATAATATAATTCTTAATAGTAATAATATCACTAATATTACTAAAATAAATATATTACAATGTGTGGTAACTTGAATCGTGATAAGTACACTATACCAAGTGTTTAGATATTGATGATATTGAATTCTTAATCGTTTGCTATTTTGTCCGTTATATGATTGAGACGTTAAATGCACGTGTGGCATAGCCACAATAGTGGCTTAGCCAAATAATACTACTATCGGTAATGGAAATCTTCATTTTATATATTAAACACTAGAGAATCGATTGAATTAGACGTGTTATTTTCAATCGGTTTACAATACCACGATTTACGATGTTATAACATTATATAGGGTGAATCTAAAAAAGCCATTTTATACATTTATTTTATAACAAAAAATATTGATGTTAGACATATTATTATGATGAGATATTAATTATCTATAATTTTTTTAAAGGTTAAGATAATTTTATTGGTTTTCATGATCACTGCAAAATAATATCAACCAATTCGCCAATTTTTTAAAAATTAAAATGTGCTCATAAAAATCACAAAATTCGGAAAAAAATAACGATTCATCATTGGTAAATACCAAAGCTTTGTTTCAAAACAATAATTTATAAGATGGCTGCCTAGGATTTAGTGAAAAAAAAATTTTGTTTAAAAAAAAAGAAAAACCATAGCGGATTTACTTCGCACGAGGGTGCAGCTACTGTCGTAAGTAGGAAGATAAAATATAGAAGGGAATTTGATGTGCATCTGTAAGCCACGATAAATCATTGCTAACGAAAAAACGATTCTGAGTGAAGTTTAGTTGATAGTGTTGCTTTGTCAACAATTAATATGTGTTGTTATGGTAAAATAATTACATATAAAAGAAACATTTACTTTAATAATATTTATTTAATATAGTACCGATTTTCCTGTTTTCCCGGTTTTTCACATTTGCTGAAAAAACTCTTGGGAAAATCAAAAAATGACCTCCTTTAAGTACTTTCCCAGCCAGGTTTTACTTTTAAAAAAGTGTTATCATTGTAAATCAGAGCAAATTTTCTAGTAGAAAAGTTGTCCACGGATAGACAAAACGTTTTTGTAAAACCATAAGCTTCGTCGCTCAGAAGCTCAGAAACGAAAACTAAAATATATTTGAACAGTAAAAAAGTTATTGAATTCGTGAGATCTCCATGAAACACTTTATGTTATATATATTTTTATTAAAAATCTAAAATTATAATTATATGAAAAATAAAAAAAAATTCTTTTGGAAATCGAACAGGAGTTATTGTTTATTAGGTTGAACACACTCGGTTTTTTACCTGTTATATTGATTTAAAATTGAAAGACAACGCGAATTAATCAAATTGCGCCAACAATATTTACCTCCCTTTGTATAGGGTTTAGAATAATAATAATAAAAAGCAGGCTTAAACGTTTTCTTGAACTTAGTTTTATTATTCCTGTACAGTTTTGGGCCATTTGTACAGCCTTGCGAACCGGGGAATTCGACAAATGACCTGTCTAAAGTATATACGGCCATTCGTGTTCAATTACCTGTTTATAAAGTGGCCGGATGAAAGTTTCCGAGAATTTTTACTGTCCCGAATGGTGTTTTTCGAGAAAAAAAAAACAAGTAATAATTGTAAAACTAATAGCTTCCTTGCGATTGTTCAGAATCCGAACAAATAACACGAAGACAACCAAATATTTGAGTAAAGTGTTTCCTTTTATTCGTGTTTTTTACTTTATTGCTTGTATATTATGATAATAATAATAACAAGACGGTAAAATAGCGTTAAATTCTACTCGCTATAACAGCTATTTCGTTTAGACTCTGTGACCGCATACAAATTATGAAATATAAAATTATTAAAAATACTATTTGATTAAACAAGTTTCTTATAATTTTACTTAAAAAAACGATTATATCACGAAGCTAAAGCAATTTTAGATTTGGGTGGGAGGGGAGGTAACAGTGAAATGTTTTTCGTTTTTTTTTTTTGTTTTAAAATAGCATAATATGATAATGTAAAAATTAAATTGAAAAAAATAAACCCATACATTTTTCGGTTCAATCAACATTAAATCGGGAATAACTTTTAATTTGCATGCTGTTTAAAACCTCGATTACAAGATTATTCGACCTCGAAAACACTCGTCCACGTGATTATACGACTATACCAACTACGTGTCACGAAGTTTCGCGGTGGTTTTGTAGACCCAGGTGCGATGACGTGTTTCGGAAATGATTTATTTGGTAATTCCCCGCAAGCTTGTTATTTCATTTCGACGAAAAGTCGATTTTCTCGTAACATTTGCCGAATTCCCCGAAAATCCTCATATTCCGATTGCCAAATTGTCTATTGCGATTTCTTTAACTCACGGCGTCACGGCCGTCATGACTATATTATATCCGTTTGCGATATCTCTATTTTAAAATCTAAATTCACGACGCATCGGAATAGACGAGCTTTCAGCAACGTCGTGAAACCCGGTATGTTGTATTTTTGTCACTGTATAATATCATAATATTCATTTGTCGCTTAAACTAAAAATAATGTGATGAAATTACCTAATCCTAGTCTATTATTATGGTACATAGTCGCCTGCAGACATTTTACTGGAAGAGTGGGGGAAGTTTAAACGATGACCTTTTTGTCGGTCGCTTTCAAATGTTAACGTGTTTAATGTGTTTTTTTTTTTTTTTTGTAAAAAGCCGGAGATATTGCACCGTCTTGCTCCCTCTTCCTCTACCAAAAAATTCTGATACCGACTTCATATTTTTTTAATTCGATTTTATCAAAAACGGATTTGATATCTCTCGTACCTCTCGGGCGCAAATATATTATTATCTGCCGCGGTTTTATGTTATCTAATATTTCAGAACTTTGTTTGATAAACCGATTTAAGAATTGCGCAATGTAAATTGCCGTACCTTAAAATAATAATAATACATTTAACAAATCATCAAAAATTATATTTAAAAAAAAGTTTCGTTTTGTTTCATTTTTCCCCTCCGTTTAGTGAAATAATAATTATTCTGAAGTGTGATTAATTTAAAAGTTCAACCGCAGCTTTCGCACTGTACGCGTTTTTATTAAATTAAATTTTCAGTGATAAATTACCCGAATTTGATGTTCCAAGAGCGCACCTCATCTTTTTGACTGCGACCGCACGGTAATAAGAGTACACTTATTACCAATCGCAAATAACGGCGTTTATGTTGTTCGTTATTATCATTATTATTTTGTTCTTAATTTCAGCCGACATCGTGTTGTTTTTGTTTTTTTATTAAATGCATTATGGTTTTTGGTTTTTGTTTACATTCATATAGATTATAAAGGCACTATAGGCATGAGTTACTTGATCTAACGCAAATGGATTGAGCATAGAAAGAGAAACTGCGTTCTAAAATGATGTAGCGACGACGGTACCGATCCTTTGTGAAAAAGAATATTTAGTAAAATGTTTTCTTTATGCCCTGTCCCATCGCGCGATAAGTGTTAAAAGTGCTAATTTTCGTACTAAATTGAATTCTTAGATCGTATTATATTATTATCTCGGTAAAAGACTGAAAAAGTATCATAATATGTTTTAAGATAAAAAAAGAACATATGATTATTTAAGACATCAATATTCACATTTATATCAGTCGATAATAATACATAAATGTGTAAATACGCGGTTGTATTATTATCTAATAAACTTGCAAAAACCGAACGTTTTGAGATAATATCGTTTATTCGTTTCAGAAAATTGTTTCGACTGAAACAGTAGTACTGTAATCTAATACCTAGTTTTCGTATGAAATACGCAATGACGTTATCCTTTTATAAGTTTTTCGACGATTCGTTATTAATCTTATTATTATGTAACTCAAAAACTTTTAAAACTCGATGTTTTCGAAAATAATATAACCGCACTTTCTGCATGGACCATAATAATATTTTTGGTAGTCGAAATAATGGTAATAATCGTGCGGTATTATACCATTCCATCCAATGCGAGTTCATATAAATATTCTAAACATTTTTACATAGTACGTGCTAAATTGTATTTCAAAACACAAAAATAAAACAATAAAACGGGAAGATAGAGATATCGCTTTGAATGTTAAAATATACGCGTATAACATCTGTTATATTGTCGGCCGACTCGTGTATTAAATTAATTAATTATGTTTAAAGAAAAAAACAGCACTTAACATGCAAACCGCGTGTAATGGATATAAAGTGCAAAAATGTGTAATAAGTTTGAGAGCCCAAAAAGTATTTTCTAAACAGCTAATGAAAAAATAAAAAACCAAATCCCTTTTTTATAAATAATTGATCCGTCAATAAGCAATTTATTCGGGTTAGGTTCCGATCAGATTATATAATTTGACATACTTTCTATAATAATATTAATAGGTGTTTTCTTTTTCGGAAAACTCTTTTTGGTTTATAAAAATGTTCCGATTTCTTCATGCAGGCAGTACCTATGTACCCTAAGATATGCGAAAGACGATTGCCCGGTGGTTCTTTATTCGAAATAATTTTCAGGAATTCCAACAATTTTTCTAAACAATTTAAAAAAAAAAAATCGTCGCGTCGGGTTAGTTTGTGTCAATTTAATTGTCTATAACTTTCCACTATAGTTTACCAAGCCCAGCTCAGAATCGATCGTTATATTGATTGCAATAATGATTTATCATTGGTTTAATTTCATTCAGACTAAATTACTACTAAGTACATCGTCCTAGATTGTCATCAAAAACGATAGTCTACACACGGTGCGGAATATATGTGGCCTTTTTTCAAACAATCGAAAATTCACCGGTTCACCGAAAACATCGACAAAATAACATGACATTTCTTTAATAAAATATCGAAAATTCCTCGCGTTTAATAATAATCGCTGGCGTATAGAGGCGGTATTCCGGCGACGTCGCGTGACCACAGATAATATTCTACAACAATACTTTGATTGCGCCAAAAAAATCACCTTACCGTCGCGACCCGACCGAGAGAAATTATGATCTCAGTCCAACTCTGGGCATTTCACAGTTGTTCTCGGTTACCGAATGTGACCAAGATATACGTATATATTGGTTACTACGGCCAATCATAGTACGGTAAAATGTACATGACACGATAGGTACACGACGTCGCTAGAATACCTCGCCTCAAACATTATGTTTTATACAGAACGATACACTCGTATTATTCGTATGGAATTTTATAATGTCTTACATAGTTGTACATATTTATAATGAAATTAATAATTAACTATATATTTATAACGTTTGGCAGGTTTCAGTTGATCATTACTATGGGTTTTTTATAATTTTAAAAGAGTATATATTTTAGATTCCGAGTGGAGCGAAGAAGCTTATGGTTTTACAAAAATGTTATTTTGTATTATTTTTTTTTTTTGTGGACACTTTTTATACCGGAGATTATGCTCCGATTTTTTATTGTAGCACCTTTTCTAGAAGGGAGTCGATGTAGGAAGGTATTTTAAGGAGGTCATGTTTTGATTTTCCCAGGATTATTCTCAATAAATTGAAAAAAACTGGAAAATCGGTATACTAAAGAAATATTATAAAAGAAAATGTAAAACACATATTTGATTATTTTATTATCATAATATGACACATATATTTTTGATAAATTATCACTATCGACTTAATGGAGTCTCAGAGATGGAGAATCATAATCGTTTTTTTCGTTGGCAATAGTTTATCGTTGCGTACACAGGTTACATACATTTAATTACCTGTAACAGTGGCTGCAACCGTTTCCGTCATCCTAGGACCGCTTCTTTTTTATTTATTATTAAATCGGTGGTTTAAGTTTTTCCTATTTCAAATTTATCTGCAAGTGCAAGCGCACTCGTATTTTCTTTTTTAATAAAAAATCTAACTCTGATATTTTCCGCTATAGTAAGAAGTTTTTGATCGAAATGCTTTAAATTGATATGAAACCCTGACTATAAAATAAACAAACCCACCGTGTTATTCTCTTTATATGACATAATAAACATAAATAATTTTGAAACAATTTAACAATTTTTCTTATAAACAATTGGGAAAAATATTTTTTATTTTGACCGTTATTTAAACTGCCCGCTATTTAGATGTGTAAATTTATTTCCCGCATCCATTTGACTATAACCGAACCAAAACAAATTGCTGTTACGTAGAAGTGACCGTTATCAGAAGATCTACTGCAATATAATGACCTTGAAGTGACGTTTTCTTAAAACTTTTTTGTTTTTCTAAATTTATTAGGTACCCATTACCTATCATTATTATTATCACACACCGTCCTGATGTATTTGTATTTTTGTTTTTTTTTTAAGTATACAGTTCACCTATAAGGTTTATTATAAGTAACTATAAGTTCAATATTGTTCAATATGCAAAACCTAGTTTTTAAATAGTTATATATATATATATTATGTATAACGCATAGGTATAGCTAACTATATATAAATCAAAGTTGCTTTGGAATAATTGAAATTTTATATACCTGACCCAAATAGTTATAGCAAACTTCGTTATAAGTATTTCGCTTAATATATAATAATAATAATAATAATAATAATAAAAATAATAATTATAATAATAATAATAATAATGATAATTATAATTGCTGTAACCCGAGACCATTAATTAATATAATATAGAAAAAGTAAAACATAAAATGTCAATGTAAAAATTACAACTCCGTTTTTTGGATTAATATGTTATTAAAATTACCCTTATATTATAAAACATATTATGAAAAATAAATGAACACAATACAAAACTTTATCCGGAAATTCAGCATTAAATTCTACCTAATCGACTGGGGAGTAAACAAAATTAACCATTGACATCATTGAAATAATATGGTGTCTTAAGACAAAACAATCCCAATAGATGAATTAAATTTTTTGTTTTCGGTAGTCTAGTCTAGATTCCTGAGGGTGTACGAAATATTTGAACTGCGTAGGAATTTTATTTGATTTTTCATGATAATACGCATTCATAACTATAATCCCTATTGTGTTTTATATTATTTTTTTTTTTTTCTATTACTATTAATAGTAAATGTTAAAAGATATCGTGAAATAGGTCGAGGATGAAAGGCGTAAAAGACGTAGTAAAAAAAAAATGACGTGAAAGCTTTATCAGGCGGAAAGCAAATTGGATGATTCTAGCGATGGACAGCTGTACGATTTGATATGAGACGGGATTATGGTGTCCTAGAGGAAGAATAAACCGAAATAATAATATTTATTATCTTAACATATAAATTATTGTATTTTATTATTATAAAGTATTGTTATATAAAATTACGTGCGGGTACATAACAAAATAAAAATATGAAAACTTTTAACGAAACATCTCGATAGGCAATTAGTATACACTTTATTGAAAACAAGTCGAGTTCTTATATACGTGAAGTGCGAGAATTCATAATTAACATTTTAGTAACATTAAGTTCCAGTAAATACATCGAAAAGTTAGATAATATTCAGTAGCAGGCCGACACATGAACCGATTTTTTCGGAGAATAACGTCTGCGATGTTTTTGGAGTATGGGTTTTTATCTGATTTATCGGTTTATTTCATTTGACTCGTGGTTTTCGATTTCAAGTATCGGGTATCGGCTTTATATCGGTGACGGAATATCGGATATCGGTAAAAGGCTAGTAATTTTTTAATAGGTT